CAAGTAAATGATAACAAATAATAAACCAAGTAACAAACCAAGTAGTTAAAAATTAACATGAACTTGATACTTGACTTGTACTTGTGAGTAATAAAATATGTTTACTTGTTACTCGACTTGATTAGAACAAATACTTATTTTTTCAAACTAAACCGAATCAAGTAGCAAATGCAAGCCGAGTATCAAGCATTTGTGCCAAGTCCTAAGAATAGACAAAGTTAAAAGCTCTGAATAAAAAATTTATTGAACAAATTTTGCTGTTTTACGTTAGTTGTAGGTCCTACTTAAGTTTTGTCTTGTTATTATATTCTGGATCACGTTGAGGTCCGGCTCTGAAAGATGAAAAAAGAACATGAATTAAAGGTTCAAAATAACTTTTAGCATAAATAGTATTAGAAAATTGTCCATATTTTCTTTAAAAAAAAATAGATCAAAACCCGAAATATTTTAAGTTACCATAATTATTTGTAAAAAATTAAAAATATAGTTATTTTGCCAAAGGTCCAAAATTCTTTTGAGACAGATCTGATCATGTTTGGCGCATTTTTCCTTTACAATAATGATAAAAATTGTTACAAAACGGTGACCCAAAGCCTAGGTTTCACTTTACTCTGTCCAAAAATGCCCATGCGCTCCTGTATAAGACAATTATGTATGTTTGCAGGTTAGATACAAACTACAAAGATATAATGTGTTTTAGTTTTGATGGATTAGAACATGAAAAGGTAGTGACAACAGGGGTGAAGTTAAGATTTTTTCTTGGTGGATGCATAATTCATAAGGGAATGTCAAATGTATAGTGGGTGTCCAACTTTGAATGTTTATGGGTGAAGAGGAGGTTTAAATCATTTTAGCAAGTTGGAATCTACTGTTTTTATATACAAAATATATAGATATTCATAAAATTATGTGTGTACTTGCATCTATTTTTATTCGAAATTTAGTGATAACTAAATTTTAATTAATTTTTTTTTTGAACCACGCATCTATTTTTATTCTATAAAATAGGTATGTCTTGATCTTATATGTAGTATAACTAGGTGTGTTAACCACACTTGCAAAAGATTAGAATGAAATAAAAATTAAACAAATTTCGTTTTGAAAAGTTCAGAAATTTTTTCTTTGAAAAAGTTCTAACTGTTAAAGGTCTAAATCTTCTTTTTTCATTTAAAAAATCATAAAACAAATTTAAAACACCTAAAAATCAAAGATGTGTTTTAGGTATGTGAACCACACTTGCACAAGATTAGAATGAAATAAAAATCAAACAAATTTCATTTTAAAAAGTTGAGAAATTTTTTCTTTGAAAAAATTCTAACTGTTAAAGGTCTAAATCTTCTTTTTCATTTAAAAATTCATAAAAAAAATTAAAACACCTAAAAATCAAAGATGTGTTTTAGTTTTGATAGATTAAAAAAAGAAAAGTTAGTAGTTTTTTCCTTTTTGCATGAATTGAGGGTGTATAACTCAAGTTATCAAACGATAGAGCCTAGAGAAGTCTTTCATGCAAAATAGAATAAAGAAAAGTTAGTGACAACTAAATTTCAGTTAGTTTTTCCTTTTTGCATGAATTGAGGGTGTATAACTCAAGTTATCAAACGAATAATGGAGATGCGGGGTATCGATCCCCGTACCTCTCGCATGCTAAGCAAGCGCTCTACCATCTGAGCTACATCCCCTTGGTGTTTTCATTGTATCTTTGACTATTCAATAATTTTACACCTTTTGCTGGACCTAAATTTTGAAGATCCTGTCTCTCATGGCCGTTCATGTCAATGAACTAAACAAAACATTCTATATAAAACCTTCAATATGCTCATGTTTCAAGGTAATCTCAAAAAGACAGATAAATGAAAAGCTTATGTATTATAGTTTCCAAAAAGAAGAAAGGTCGCACTTGTAAGTTCGTTATCTATAACTCAATCCAAGGAAACAAAACACACAACTCATTTTGTGGTTTGATATAAGACCTGTGAACTTTTCCTAATCCCTCTGGTAAAGCATGAATCCTAATATAACCGAGAGTAAAAGCACGAAAATCGCAACCATGATAGGGACATTGGATGCATTACTGGCGTTACCCGTTCTCTTGCTACTGTCTTCACGGCTTTTCCTTTCAACATTGCCTTCCAAACGGCAGCTAGAAACAGAAGACGCAGGGGTTATCACATCCCACATAGACTCCGCAACCAATAAAGACATCTCAGTTTCCACTTCTGAAATCTTTGATGCGTCAAGAGAAGAATGCTCCATTGACATTAACTCCATGCAACGTTCTTTTACTACCTAACATTGGAAGAAGAAAAACATGTATAAACACTTTGGAAGAAGAGTGTAACTGATAGATTGCCTGTTGATTATCTACCTCTAGTGATTCAAATGGCTGTAGATAATCACAGATGTGTGTACCAGCTAACCAAGGGACAAGAACTCTCCTAGGAAGACGGAGATGGCATGCTTTTCTGTTCACAAAACAATAGAGACGTTAAGCTTCTTTTTTTTTTTGTGTTAAGCAGTGAACATACAGCAATCATAAACAGACAATCTAGCAATGGTTATTTTTAAAGGTTGACTCACGTAGATGGGTTTAATATGGATTTGGAGATGGGGATTTTCGACATCTCAGCTTCTTCATTGTCCCCTACATCAGTTGGATCAAGATCCTGCTCAGCCTCGTCACAAATAATCTCCAATCTACTTTGCAGACTCCTAGTAATGTCAGCCTGAAAAGAAATAATACAGCCATCAACAGGTCAAGTCCAGTATTACTGGGAGAAGCTCATATTCAAGTAAATAAGAACATGAAAGAACCGGGAAGAGACGTAGGTGCAATACCTTTATATCAGCAACAGCTTGTGAAACTGGTTCTTTCACGTTTAAGTAGGCATAAGAGTATATAGAACCACCGAAGTGTAGAATTCCAGCAACATTCTTTGCAGCTAATGCTTCACAACATTACACGGTGATATTCAGAATGAGATCATCTACAAACATGTCAACTGAATGAACCCAAGTCCAGAAAAAAAAACATACCCTCAGCTCTGCTATCTTTCATGAATGGGAATAACAATTCAATCTCATGCTCTCCCTCCGTGTTGCAAGGCTCATCGTTGTGCACCTTCACTCATAACAAAAGTTAAGATTACATTTAATTTTCCCCCTTCCCATCAATTGTTATAGTTTCGTTTAAATCAATAGGCACCTCAAGCATTGAAAGCTCCAAAATGATTCAAGAATGCAACATCCAATACTATTCAACAGTCAACACAGAAACATAAAAAGCATAGGGTTTACTTTCTACTCACCAAGTCTCCATCAATCATCGCATTTGCACTCTCCAGCTCTTTTGCATGAACTGAAAGTTCTTGACGGAGAATCTCAGTAAATGTTTGCCTAGTTGATTCACCCTTGGAGTAAATTGGTAATCTACCAGCGATAAAGTGAAAGCAAAAAAAAATCAACAGAGAGATTCAGGAATAAATACAAAAAGAATAGGGTAACCAGCACTAAATTCACCAGGAAAGAAGAGATCCGAATATAGATGCATTGACATACCTGAAATCAAAGCTGTAGCTGCACTTAAATCTCTGAAGGGAATTTAATACCCTTCCCAGCTTGAAGTCACAAGGTCGAAGGCTACTTGATGTAATACTTGAGCTCAACAAACATGTTCGACAATTCCATCTACAAACATTCCACTCTTAGTTCAATTACCAGATAGTTTTCAATAATTTTAGTAAGTGAATGTACCTCCTTGGACTGTAGCATATGTGAATAAGAAGAGCTTCATCCAAGGTAGGATCCAAATGCCGTATTGCATCTGAAACTCCCTTTATAGCCTGATAATTTAGATTCATCAACATCCATTAGAGTTGGCAATAGCATCCAAAAGATTCCTCATTAACCAAAATACAATCAAGCAGCAGGAACATTTAGCTCACACTAACTTACCTGGCAAAGGATCATAGTCGAATTCTTAAAAGCACTCTCACTAGCCCATACATAGATACCAACCACCTTCACTCCACCCAAAAGCATTCTCGATACCTGAAGAGGAAACATCAATTAAACTGCCACAATCATCTTCATCTAACATTCACAAGACAACCAACAGTATCAAACCTGTCTAGCATGTTCTGCTACCCAATCACAATCAATCGACAGAGAAGAAGACTCAGAAGACTGAGCTTTCGACTTGGATGGCTTCCTCTTATCATCTCTGGTCTCTACAACTGAACAAGCTGGCTCTCCAGCATCATTTCTCGGCGTTGGGATTAAATCAAACACAAAACCACGATCCAAAACAGAGCTAAGCTTGCCTATCACAAGACCCACCTGTGCACCAAATCATAAAATAAAAAAAACCACACTTATAAACCCCAACAATATCAAAAGATGAAATGTTTTTTTAACATAACATGAATCAGTGATTTACCTCAGCAGGAATAGCTGAGTGAGAGAGACGATCTTCAGCAACAGTGAGCCTAGACTCTTCTCCAACTACTGCTTTCACCATTGTTTACCAATGAAAAAATAACTCTGCAACCAAGTAGAAGAATGTTGTCGCATGCATAAAAAATAAATCTTTTCACAATCCCAGAATCGACGAAACCAAAAAAAATCGAAACTTTCTGCTAAATCACATAAACCCATGTCGAATTCAATAAACCCACTAACACAAAATATCAAACGAAACGGAAATTTGCAAAACCCAGAAATGTAAATTGGATCCCTAACCACGGAGAGAAAAGCCTTATCAAGAGACGACACAGAAGGTTATAAACGGTTTCGTAAGATCTTACCTCCTCCTCCCTCTTTGAATTTCAGAGAGATCGATACAATGACGAAACCTGAGTACTTAAGTTTCCACGTATACACATCGTGCCGTTTTAATATATCAAAACAGCGTGCCGCTTTAATATATCGAAACAGCGTGCCGTTTTCTACGGAAAACTGGCCGTTAAATAAAAAAAACCTTTCACTTAAAAGTCAACACGACGATGAGTGCACTCTCTCGCTTCCATCACTCATGGAAGACACTAATCCTCGCGACCCAACTCAGCCAAACACTCCAACAAATCAAATCATCCCACGCGTCATTCATCATCCACAACCTCCATCGCAACACCTACGCCGTAAGCAAACTCCTCACCTCTCTTCTCCACCTCCCAAACCCAAACAAACACTCCCCTTACGCTTCCCTCATCTTCTCTTCAATTCAATCTCGCAACACATTCGTCTACGACACAATGATACGAATCTCCGCACGAACCTCTAGTCCTCACTTAGGTGTACATTATTTCAAACTAATGATGTCCGAAGAGAATGACGTGGATGAGATAGCTCCGAGTTACCTCACGTTTCATTTCTTGCTTGTTGCGTGTCTGAACGCTTCTCTGTTCGTCACGTGTAAGCAAGTCCACTCCTTTGTGGTTAAAAACGGTGTCTTTGCATCGGACGGTCATGTACAGACGGGAATCTTGAGGGTTTATGTGGAGGATGGGAGTTTGGTAGATGCGCGGAAGGTGTTTGATGAAATTACTGACCCGGATGTTGTGAAATGGGATGTTTTGATTAACGGGTATGTTAAATCCGGGTTGGGGTCTGAGGGTTTGGTTGTGTTTAGGGAGATGTTAGGTAGAGGGATAGAGCCTGATAAGTTTTTGGTTACTACGGCTTTAACGGCTTGTGCACAAGGTGGAGGGATAAGTCAGGGGAAGTGGATTCATGAGGTTTTGATGAAGAAGAGGGGGAGATGGGTTGAGTGTGATGTGTTTGTAGGGACGGCGCTTGTTGATATGTATGTTAAGTGTGGTTGTTTAGAGACGGGTGTGGAGGTTTTTGAGGGGTTGAGTAAGAGGAATGTGTTCTCATGGGGGGTTTTGATTGGTGGATACGCGGCGTATGGTTATGGTGAGGAAGCTGTTACGTGTTTGGAGAGGATGGAGAGAGAAGATGGTGTTAAGCCTGATAGTGTTGTACTTCTTGCGGTTTTAGCTGCTTGTGCTCATGGAGGGCTTCTTGAAGAAGGAAGAAGAGTTTTTGATAATATGGAAGATCGATATGGGATCACTCCGAAGCATGAGCATTATAGTTGTGTAGTGGATCTGATGTGTAGAGCTGGGAGATTTGATGAGGCGGTTGGTGTTATTGAAGAAATGCCTATGAAACCGCTTGCGTCTGTATGGGGTGCGTTGCTGAATGGTTGTCGGACTCATAAGAATGTTGAGCTAGGAGAGCTAGCTGTTAAGAATCTTCTTGAGTTGGAGAAAGGTAATGCTGATGAAGAGGAAGCAGCTCTTGTTCAACTATCTAGTATTTACATGACTGCTCAGAGAAACGGCGAGGCATCTAAAATTCGTCAGATGATAGGTCGGAAGGGAATAAGAAAGGCGCCAGGATGCAGTGAGTTAGAGGTTGATGGAAATGTTACGAGATTTGTCTCGGGAGATGTGTCACACCCAAATCTGTTGCAAATTCATATCATGATTCATCTCCTATCGGTTGATGCCTTGCAGATTCTGTAGTATTCACTCAACAGGCTGGAAATATTATGAGAGGGCGCTTTTGAGTTCTCTCGTTTCTACAGATTGTCTTTTAAGCATATCGAACCCTCAACACACACATGAGGCTTGTTCAAAGGCTATTTTGGAATGGAGATAAGAGTACATATGAAGGACCGTGATGAGCTTCTGAACATGCTGCAGTTCTATGTCCTAGTAAAGGGAAACATTGGACTCCCCGAAGCAGGAGCTGCAAACTTAAGCAAGGCCATAAAAAACGAGTATCTCAACTCAATCTTCACAAGTAGTTTCAGCTGAAAATTGCATGGCCTTTGGGCAGACCTATTAGCGCCATCTAGAGACTAGAGAGATTTCAGACTCTTGAATGTGAAAAATCTGAATACATGATGTAAGATATTAGACATATAAGCTCATAAGATATTTTCCGTTCTATTATTTCTATGTGCTAGGTAATCAAATCTGTTACTGCAGGTAACCGGTGATTGATAAGGACATGTGTTTAGTCTTCGCTTATGAACACCGGCTGGCCAGGTACCCTCTCGTCTTTCTTAACAGCTGCTGCCTAGAGTTATGTTGTGCTCCTTAAGAAACTTTGTCTTGACTTGTAAAAACCTGATGTTTAACAAATTTAAGATCTCTTTTAACAATTTCACTCAAAATATGATTTGGTTTCATTTAGCATCTCACTTGTAAGAAAAGAAGCTTATAGACAAGAAATAGAAGGGAAGCCTTACGAAAATCCAAACACAATATCTTCTTGATGTTCAGCGTGGTATTGGATTTTAGTTGCTTAGGTGGGGTTTCACATATAGCATGATACTAGATTTGTTTAGCATCAAGGTTGTGTACTCACGTCAGTACGTCACGTAAAAGGTGTTTTTTTTGTTGATCTACAGCATGTTACCGAATTACACAGTAACCAAAAGTTTTGGTCTTAGACTACAAACTCTGTCATTTTGAACCATGCTTCAAGTTGTGCTTGTATCATCCACTGTAGGATTCCACAAACCACAATCTCTTCAGTTATATTGATTTGAGGGCAACCATACATTAAAACTGGAGCTATTATGTTGACCTAATTCATGTTCTGGTTCTGAATGGTGTACGGTTTTGGTAAATTGGAAAATGCAAAATCAGTGAAAAGAAAGCTAACCTTTGGAAGAAGTTAAAGGGTTTTGAGAATGCTTTATTAGAGTGATCATACAATCCAGTAGGTTCTCTTCTATATAAAAGCAACATATATAGACATTATTCAGTGCTCCTCTTCACCATTTTCTTCAATCTTTTTCTTCTTCTCCTCCTTTGCTTCTATATCTGCTTGCTTTGCCTTTTTTCTCTTCTTCTCCTCCTCCTTTACTTCCATCTCCGTCTCTACCTTCTTTTCCTTCCTTCTCTCCTTCTCTTCCTCTTCTTTCTTCTGCTTCACCTCTTTCTCAACCCTCTTCTTTGCTAGTTCTTTCTCCTCTTTCAGCGCTTCTATCAAACGTTTCATACATGTTTCTCCTTCTTCCCCTTCTGATTTCGGCAACAGATTCTCTCCAACATCAGCCGGTGTCATCTTGATTTCTTCATCTTCAAACAATCTCTTTATCTCATCATAGAGCTCACTCTCCTCCACATCCAAGTAGTTCTTGGCCAACACCTTAAAAGCTTTAAAACCACAATAAGACATCTCTATATGCTTATCCATCCTTCCTTTCCGAATCAAAGCAGGATCTAGCTTGTCCACAAAGTTTGTAGTAAACACAATGATCCTCTCTCCTCCACAAGCTGACCATAACCCATCAATGAAGTTCAACAACCCTGACAATGTAACCTTGCTCTCTTTGTCCTCACCTTGGTTTTTCATCATCTTCTTCTCCACTGCCTTCTTCTCATCTCCCTCTTCTTCTTCCTGCTTTTTCTTTCTCTGTCCCGTTAGGTTAAGAGAACAATCTATATCTTCAATCACAATAATAGACTTCGTTGAAGTTTCAATCAATAAACTTCTCAGCTGTGTATTATCCATAACCGTTGTCAGTTCAAGATCATAGACATCATACTCCAAGAAGTTCGCCATGGCAGCTATCATTGTCGACTTACCAGTCCCTGGTGGTCCAAACAAAAGATACCCTCTCTTCCACGCCTTCCCAATCTTCTTGTAATAATCTTTGCTCTTACTGAACTTAACAAGATCGTTCTTGATCTCTTCCTTCTTCTTCTCTTCCATAGCTAAAGTATCAAAAGTAGCTGGATGCTCAAACGTTACATGACTCCACTTTGTCTGGTTCCTATGGTTCTGTCCCGGAGTATTCGAGTAAAGCTTCCTCTCTCTGTTCTTCATCTTTATCATCTTCCCTTCCATGATAACATGCTCAAGATACCTCTCTATGATTACTTCTCGGTCACGTCTATGGAACTTCAATATGTAGTATTTCTTCTCATCGGCTGCAGGGTAGAACGAGAACGATGGCCTAGTGTTCCTCACTTTCTTGGACTGCCACCAAACCGTAACGCCCTGGAACTCGTCGGTTATCTCTTCCCTATCATCCATGCTGAGAACAAGAGACTTGCTTCCTTTGGTTGTGTTGGCTTTGAGCTTCTTGGCTCGAAGAGAGGAGTCTTTGCTTAGATAGGTTTGGATCATTGAGTAGACTTCGTTTCGCTTGAAATGCTCTCCATTGTATTCATGGAATTTGATTTGGATGTAAGGGTAGAAACGGCTGAAGAGTCTTTGAAAGAATGGTTCCATGTGAGGGAACCATTGTTTGAAGATTGTGTATAGAAACATTATGGTCGCTAGAGAAGAGCCTGTATTAGCCCATCTTCGACCCATCGTCACCATTTTCTTTTAGGGTTTGGAGTAGGTTTATTTAGGTTTCTTGAGGTATAAGTAAGTTTTTTGAGATGAGATTTTGATCAGAAAGGAAAGTTAATGTTGGGGGAGAAGATATAGTGGTTCTAGCAGCAGCACACAAGAGCTTGTGATATTTAAGATGAAATTTCCTTGAGAAGTCTCTATCAATCTATACTATTATTGATGTAATGAGATCACACTTGGAACTACCCAGCGACTAATTATCTAAAAGTTCCTGTTGGAAAACCAAAAAAAAGACACTATACAAAGACTGAAAAGAGAAGGAAACTGCACGTTCTACCATCAATTTAATTATAAAGTTATACAATATGTATTTTTAAAATTAAAAGTAGTGTCCATAAAAACTAGTATAGCAGTAAATGCCAGAGAGAGTCTGAAGTGTACATCATTGTTTATCTGATAGTGGTGGACTAAAAACATTTTGATATCCAATTCTCGTAAAGGGAAAATGTGACTCCCCTACCGCTAATAGTTAATGGGTCACTGACGTATGTTCATTAATTTTCAAGGTTCTAGAGTCATATTTATTGACCATGTAATCACCACATAATCTTTATCTATGAATTTAATTCCGAAAAAATAAGTACATTTTAGTTACATAGGTAACCAAATCAATTCTCTTAAATCTTTTCATATATCATAATTCGGGATGTTACAAAAATATTTTTAAATTGGATAGTAACATATATGATTTTTTAACAAGTATTTAACCTAGTGCGGATGACGATGGGATCCTTACATCAGATGATTATATATTGTACATAGGAATCCAATTAGAGAGCAAAAACAAACCCTGGAAATATTAAGATTTATATCTCTTTTACACAAGTTTTAAAACCGGTACCATCCACTGTATATATCTTTAAGAGAAAAATACTCTGTAAGAACATTTAAAGAACCTTCTACTATCATAAATGAAAAACCAGGAATCAGGTTATAAACGTTTGGCTAGACAAAACATGAAATTATGTCTTGGATATCAATAAGATTAGTACTCATATTAAACACGCAACCAAGAACCAAAACAGAGACAAGAACATATCTATGATCTTGAGCTAACTTTCTTCACACGTCAAAACATAATGTGTTTTTCTTTTTTTGCCATCTCTATATATGTTTTATTCAGTGAAAGATGTGAACTAAAACATAGACACTAATTTCATAGCCGATATTTAATTCCATAAGTTTGGTTTTAGAAGCTAGAAATTGAGACTAAAAACGTAATAAAACACTAATAACAATTGGTTCAAGTACTTAAACTTGGTTAACAACATCCTTCTGTTGTTCATTTGAGTTCTGGTTCAACTTCATCTCTTCCAAAACTAGGATCAAGCGCTTGAGTGATCCATCAACATCACACTCACCATCTTTCACCATCAAGTTCTCCGCAACATCAGCCGGTGTTATATTCGTCTCTTCCAGCAAACTCTCAATCTTACGAAACAAGACATGTGAATCAAGATTCAGATAGTTCTTAGCAAGAATCTTGAACGCTTCAAATCTGCAATAAGACAACTCTATATGCATATCCATCCGACCTCTTCTGATCAAAGCTTGGTCAAGTTTCCCCAAGTGGTTCGTTGTGAACACAAGTATCCTCTCTTGTCCACAAGCCGACCAAAGCCCATCTATAAAGTTCAATAAGCCAGAGAGTGTAACTGCATTCTTCTTCTTCTCTGCACTGCTCTCATCTTCTTTCTTCTTCTTCTCTTTATTTTTCTCTGCACTGCTCTCATCTTCTTTCTTCTTCTTCTCTTTCTTAATCTCTGCACTGCTCTCCTCTTCTTTAACTTCCCTCTCTCCCGTGAGGTCCAAGGAACAGTCTATATCCTCAATCACAATGATTGACTTACTACTCGTCGCAAGCAACAACTTCTTGAGCTCCCAGTTGTTTCCTATCGAAGTTAGCTCAAGATCATAGATACTATAACTCATTAGATTCGCCATAGCTGCTATCATAGTGGACTTGCCTGTCCCTGGAGGACCATGCAGCAAATAACCCCTCTTCCAAGCTTTCCCAATTTTTTTATAATACTCTTCACCGTTGCTAAACCCTAAAAGATCACTTATAATCTCATCTTTCTTCTTAGGATCCATAGCCATTGTGTCAAACGTTGCTGGATGCTCAAAGTCAATGCTACTCCATAGATTCATCGTCTGCATCTTCCAGTTAGGACTTGGATTGTTCATAAAGAGCTTAACCTTCTTCTTCTTTTCTTCAATGGACTTACCTTCTTCCACAACATATGTCAAGTAAGAACCGGTCACAATCTCCCAGTTACTTCTATGGAAAGTAAGCCTACACATTTTAACACCGTCTGTGGATTTTAGCACCTCCCACAAAATCTTCACACCCTCAAACTCATCCTCAACCTTATCATCGTCACGTTTGAAATCCAAAGACTTTCTCCCCCTCATCTGGCTACCCTTGAGATTCTTAACTTGAGAGTTAACTTGTGCACCAAGGTAGGTCTTGATGGCAGAGTAAGCGTAGTTATATTTATACTCCTCGATTTCTCTGAACCCGATCTGAGCGTAAGGTGAGAAGAAGGCAAGAGTCTTGTCAGAACACTTCTTGAAAAAGGGTATCCGTTGGATTGCGTTGACGAGAAGCTCTTGGATCGTGTTCTTGAGCTGTCTAGGGAAGTATCTCCTAAGAGTTTCCATGATGAAGAATAGACCAGCAATGTTTGATCCTATTGTTGTTAAGTTATCTCCAATCATTGGCTTCACGATTGATCCCATCAGGATTTCGATTAGGTTTCTTTTGCTTTCCTTTTTCTGCAGAAGAAGCTTCTCATCTTTTCTCACTTTGGTTTGACTCATAACTGCGTTGTTCTCATTTTTCATCTGCATCTTCCAGTCGGTACTTGGATTGTTCATATGAAGCTTAACCTTCTTCTTCTTTTGTTAAATGGAGTAGGTTTAAAAAGACCCATCATCACCATCTCTTCACTCGAAGCTCTGTTTTAGGGTTTTGGAATAGGTTTATTTAGGTTCCTTGGATTAGAAGGAAGGTTTCTGAGATGAGATTAAGCTTAGATTTTGATCAGAAAGGAAGGTTAATGTTGGGGAAGAAGTAGTGGTTCTGGCATACAAGAGCTTATGACATTTATAAAAGAATTTACTTGGAAGTCTCTATCAATTTTGTATTATAGATCTTTTGAGATACTGTTCCAAAGAAGATGTTGGAAATTACCTAACTACTAATTATTTTAAAGTTTTTGTTGGAAAATTAAATAACTTAACAAAGACTGAAGAAAAGGAAATTGCATGGTTCCACGCCATCAATTTCATTATAAAGTATTATACAATGTATGTAATAAAATTAAAAGTAGTTTCACCAGCAAATTCCAAAAAATGTCTGAACACATCATTGTTTGTTGATAAAGTTACATGTAGTGGTGGACTAAAAAACATTTAGATATCCAATTTTCTTAAAGGGGAAGAATTTCAAATTGGATAGTAACATGTATTATTTCTTTAACAAGTATCTAACCTAATACGGATGACATCCTCTTGATGACAATCGGATCCTTACATCATATGATATATACAGAGGAATCCAAGAGAGACAAACAGAACCCTACAAAAGATATATATATATATATATATATATATATATATATATATATATTTTTTTTTTTTTTTTTTTTTTAAAGTTATACAGAGATATCATGGTTTTATAGAAGTAGTCTAGATTAGTCCACGTGTTTATTTGTGTCGGTCCCCTATCCCTAACGATGCTGAAATGTTAATTTTTCAGTGGTCGGAACTCGAATCCTTGTAGCTTCACCGCTTTGAACTTTTGCCCTCAAATTAATCATAACCAGACCACAAATATTGGTTATTAAGATATATATCGCTTTACACAAGTTTAAACCTAGTACTAACCACTGTAGGGAAAACATCTTATTTGTGCTTGAACTATGAGTTGCTAAAAAATACATGTCTAAACTTTATGTGTGTGCGAACACATCTTTACTCTACATTAATTTAAACTACACGTATTTATAAAGTCGACACTAATTCATAAGTTGACCATAATTCTATAAATCATACGAAAATTACTAAGATATAAAATTTAAATATATTTTGTTTTTTACTGTAATAGTAAGATATTTATAGTAAACTAAAGATTATGATTTTTTTTTAAATAAAACTAATTATAAACTATTTTTCACTAAATCAAATTATATACAAATATTTTTTTTTCATCTAAGAAAAGGTAGATAGAAAGAAATTATTTTTATTACTTTGAAAGTATATTATATATTGTAAAAATATTTTTTAAAGGAAATATTATTACTTTGTGAACTTTTATTTTTAATGAAATCATACAACAGATACATATATTTCGTTTTAAAAATTCGTTTTTAAGATTATAAATATTCCCTTTTTATTATATATTGTTATTTGAAAAAGTAAAAACTAAAAATCGAACTAACGGAAATTATTAAATAAAAAGTTAAAATACTTCTTTAATGTAAAATTTTTAATTCATTAAGGATAATTTTATAGCTAACCATCGTAAAAATTAACGTGAACGCGGCATGAGAATTGATTTCTAAAATAATATTTTAGAAATTTGTATAAGGCCCGAACCAAGCAGATATCCGGCTCTAATTTTTATTAGTATTCACTGATTTGTTTCATTTTAACCATTTACTTTAGCACTGGTGAGAAAATACCATAACCAAACAAAAACTGAAAAGAGAAGGAAATTGCACGCTTCCACCATCTCCATCAGTCTCATTATAACTTATACAGTATGTATTTTAACTAAAAGGGTCCATAAAAAAATACACAACATAATTAGTGTACGAGTAGATGCTAAAAGAGTCTGAAGTAACATGTACCACAACTATTGCACAAGTAGATGCCAAAAAGAGTCTGGACTCTGGAGTGTCTATACATTGTTATCCAACTATCTTAAAGGCAAAGGTTTCAAATTGAATAGTAGGATAAATACTATTTATTTAACCAATACTCTGAGAATGTAATTCGACAGCGCCTAGTCACGTCTCCAACCATTAGTAGGAATCACATATTATTGTATAATCGCTATCTAATGAACTTTAGCAAGAGAAACAAAACAACAAAACGCTAAAAGTTACAAAATTTGCTGATTTCTCATGGTTCATGGCTTCATGCCATCGTGTTTGTGTAAGTTTCTTCGAGAAAGGAGTCTTTTTTATGGTAGGAAGACAGCTATTATTATTATAAGTACGGACAGAGACAAGTAAGGAGTGGTTAGATACTTAGTCCATTGAACCAAGAACGAGGCCGTCTGTGCTTGGACGTTTACTGAAAATCTTAAAATACCAAACTCGTCAGGGCTAATCGATTGATTACTCTCATTATTGTCTGGGCCTAGTGCTAAATATATTGAAACTTGGACTTTGGTAGTTTAAAATAGGGTCTTTCTTCGGGATGAGATTTTGGAGGCAGTGTTTATACTTATGAGATTAATTTTACACTTGCTAAAATCTTTTGTCTCAACTCTTGACTAAGCTCAAAGATAATCTTTACTACAAAGAATGAAAACAGAGAGAAGAAGATATGGAACTCACACAAATTCACTTGAGATGTATTACACTCTTCACACGTCATTTTAGTTGTTATTTTAAGTTTTACGTTATAACTACAATTAAATTAAAACGAAGGGAGTATTAAACATTAATCTCAAACCGGCTATTAAATATGATTTTCAAGCTACAGTGGGTGCTAAAAACATAATGAAACACTGATATCAGAGCAGATGATAAAACTATTACTCGTTCTGTTTCATTATAAGTGTCGTTTTAGGTTCATACACACAGATTAAAGAAACCATTACTTTTGCATATTTTCCATATAAAAACACAATTGCCTATACACCTAATCATATATCAACAAATAGAAAAATAGAATGCAGAATAAATTAATAAATTTTGTATTAAAAATCGAAAACAACACTTATTTTGTAACAAATTTTTTTTTAAGACGACACTTAATATGAAACGGAGGGACTATTTATTTGTTAATTTCCTTCTCTTGTTCATTTGAATGTTGGTTCAACTTCATCTGTTCCAAAACTAGGATCAAACGCTTGAGAGATCCATCAACATCACACTCACCATCTTTCACCATCAAGTTCTCCGCAACATCAGCCGGTGTGATATTCGTTTCTTCCAGCAAACTCTCAATCTTACCAAACAAGACATGTGAATCAAGATTCAGATAGTTCTTGGCAAGAATCTTGAACGCTTCAAATCTGCAATAAGACAACTCTATATGCATATCCATCCGACCTCTTCTGATCAAAGCTTGGTCAAGTTTCCCCAAATGGTTCGTTGTAAACACAAGTATCCTCTCTTGTCCACAAGCCGACCAAATCCCATCTATAAAATTCAATAAGCCAGAGAGTGTAACTGCATTCTTCTTCTTCTCTTTCTTTTTCTCTGCACTGCTCTCATCTTCTTTAACTTCCCTCTCTCCCGTGAGGTCCAAGGAACAGTCTATATCCTCAATCACAATGATTGACTTACTACTCGTAGCTAGCAACAACTTCTTGAGCTCCCAGTTGTTCCCAATCGAAGTTAGCTCAAGATCATAGATACTATAACTCATTAGATTCGCCATAGCTGCGATCATAGTGGACTTACCTGTCCCTGGAGGTCCATGCAACAAGTAACCCCTCTTCCAAGCTTTCCCAATCTTTTTATAATACTCTTCACCGTCTCTAAACCCTAACAGATCACTCATAATCTCATCTTTCTTCTTAGGATCCATAGCCATTGTGTCAAACGTTGCTGGATGCTCAAACTCAATGCTACTCCATAGATTCATCGTCTGCATCCTCCAATTAGTAGACGGATTGTTCATTAAGAGCCTAACCTTCTTCTTCTTTTCTTCAATGGACTTACCTTCTTCCACAACGTATCTCAAATAAGAACCGGTCACAATCTCCCAGTTACTTCTATGGAAAGTAAGCCTACACATCTTATTCCCATCACTGAATTTTTGAATCTCCCACCAAATCTTCACACCTTCATACTCATCCTCAACTTTATCATCGTCACGTTTGAAATCCAGAGACTTCCTCCCCCTCATCTGGCTACCCTTGAGACTCTTCACTTGAGAGTTAACTTGTGCGCCAAGGTAGTTCTTGATAGCTGAGTAGGCGTAGTTGTATCTGTACTCCTCGATTTCTCTGAACCTGATCTGAGCGTAAGGAGAGAAAAAGGCAAGAGTCTTGTCAGAACACTTCTTCAAAAAGGGTAACCGTTGGATTGCTTGGATGAGGAGTTCTTGGATCGTGATCTTGAGCTGTCCAGGGAAGTATCTCCTTAGGGTTTCGATGATGAAAAGTAGACCAGCGATGTTTGATCCTATTGTTGTTAGGTTATCTCCAAACATTGGCTTCACGATCGATCCCATAAAGATTTCAATTAGGTTTCTTTTGCTTTTATGTTTCTGAACTTTTCTCACTTCGGTTTGACTCATAATTGCGTTGTGTGTGTGTCTCTCTCTCTCGGTGTCTCTGCTTTGTGTACTGTTTCAGGTCTTCAAAGTGATAACCTAGAAGTATCTTATGGTTCTCTAATTTATAGTTCTTTTATAATCGTGAGCGTATTATTTGTGACATTGTGTAATAATCTTATTTAGAAATATTCCATATTCCAATTTTTAGTAGGAGAAAATATGGAATATTTTTTTTTTCATCAAAAAAAAAAATTCCATATTTTCTCCTACTAAAAATTGGAATTTTCCTTTATTAAGAAGTTAATGACTTATCTTTTAATGGTAAAAAATACTTTTTTGTTTGTTTTAAATATATGTAAGTTTTAGAATTTTCACACATTAAAAATAAATATAAAATTTTAATTTTTAATGCACTTTTTCTGTAATTAAATACTCAACTAGTTGATTTTCCCGTGCTCATGCACGGGCTTAAATATTTAAGAAATAAATATATTATAATAGTTGATTGATATTTACTTTAAATGTTATATTAATTTATAGTTTGTATGTATAATATTATATTAGTTTAGTAATTATAATTTTATATATATTATATTTAGT